CTTCATGGGCTGCCTGCACACCAATTTTCAGTCGCTCAGCTCTTGTATGGACTGAGATCCGAGGGGGGGGGGGGATACTTTTGTCAAGTAGTGTATATTTCGTAATCTTACGTTACTATGGATATTGACTAAACTTGTTTGTATGAAAATATTCTGCAAATTTTGAAAATTGCAGCTGCGAGATATTAAGATTTCAAAATATACGCACTTTTCCTTAAAAAAATTGATTTTTGAAAACTCACGTTTTCGAACATGCGATATTTGATGTTTCAGAAACCCGCCATACAAACTCATCTAATTAAGTTCTATGTTTTAGTCGAATTCTGATATGCTCATCAACAACTAATCTGCACCCGTATCTTCTTAGGACTTTCCCAGTTTCATGATTCTTTATGTAATATACAAAAATCAGTCGGAAAGCTTTTCAGCACTTTCAAAAGTTTTTCCATGACTTTCATTTCTTCCAACGGTGAACTATATATCCATGGCATCTATAGCAGAGAAAAAATTGCCTATTTTCGATAGTATATTTTTGAGTATCTTAGAGAAATATGACAGAGATGTGTATTTTGCTAAAAAAAATTACAGAAGACATATACTCTTATGGAGTACAGATTGAAACATTTTAGACTCATTACTTTTTCTGTTAGAATTAAAATTTCTTTTAATGATAACTTGAAATTTTTTCTTCATATTGACGCACAAGTTATTTGTAGTCCTTCTAATACTTGTATTAAATCATGAATTTGAGAGTGCATATCTATGTAGGTCTCTTTGCACTTTTCATACATCAACATTCACATGAAAAATTTGATTTTATGACGTACTTACTTACCAAAAAGAAACATCATATGCTTGGTTAGAAAGATTTGTAATTTATTAAAAATGTCTTCTGCCTTTTTTTTTTCTTTTGCATTGGTTTAGATTATTCGTCTGAGTTTGAGCTTTCACTAGCGAAGTTTTTTCTTTATTGTAAATTTCTGGATCATTTTTCATTTTCTCAAACTTGTGAGCTTACAATTGATTTTATTCTTTCGACGATAAAAGTACAACAAAAACATGCATCACAGACAAGTATACCAAGGTTGGGTGTGGGTGTAGATATGAATCTTCTTTTCATCTATACTCACAGCTACTGCCACATCACACCCTGAAATTCCATCAACTGCTTTCGAGAATGATACGAAACATGAAAGACCAAAAATATCGTATGCAAGTAACAAAGTCAAGTGGGATATGTTCTTCAATGATGTGCAATGTACAAGATTTTTTTTTGAAGCAAATAACAAGTCCAAATAATTCTCAATTGCATTTATTCGAGATTTTATCTTGAGTTGTCTGTCGCAGATATTTAGAAAAGGCTTTTGGTATTACCAATCGAATCGTTGCTGTTATGACTGAAGATAAAGTCAAAGATAAATAAGGTATCAGGACCAAAATGGCTTAGTCCCACACATCTCTAGTTAGTTTCCAAGTGAAGTTTTTTAATTGTAATTTCGTCAAAATGTTGAATTTTATTAATTAAAAAATATTATTAATGAATAAGAAAACGAATGTTATTATTGGTTCTTACTGGAATATCCCTCAAGTTTTTGTATCATTGATGTTGTCCTAACCAAAAATAATGATTAGGTTCGTTATTAACAATAATACAATTAGAACTATTGAATATACTCTGTTGCTGCTGTAACCATGCCATATCAATAGATGGGGATATTTTTCTAAAAATAGTGACATGTAAACTATGTAGTTGAGACATATTTTGTAAAATTAAACCAATTGTGTCGGTTGGTGATTGAGCATATAAAGATAAATGTTGACATTTCGAAGAGAAAATTCGAATAATTTGTTGGATTTCATTTTTACTTATAGATCGTGATCGTACTTTTTCCCCACGTAATTTTAAAGAAACAATCTTACGAGCTAGATGATTACATATGGAAACATTATTCCAATATTCTGTTGCTTTCTGTAAAACACTCTTTTCTGCAATTAATGAACATAAATGAGGTGTATTTTTCAATAAACAAAGAACATTTTCTGATGATATTATTGCGTAAGAGTGAATCTCTAAATGTCGTAATTTAGTCAATATATGTATCCATTGGATTGAGACAAACTCACTATAAATAATTAAATTAATTACTTCACTTCTATTAAAATTTTCATCGGGCTCAGAAGATTTATATAAAACTTCTAATGTTTTAACATTTGAGAATATATTAGTATACAAATAGTTGTATATAATCGTCCAATAAAGTTGAAATAGTTTTGATGATAGAATCTTGAAAATTTGTATAGGTTTGAAAAGAAAATGGTAGTGAGTAGAGAAGTGCACGACCTTGATATCTCTCAGGTATATCACAACCAATAAACCATTTATTTTGAAGTACATAGAATGGTGTAGAAAACGATGATATTACTTGTTCAACTTGATTAGATAGTTGCGATGAATATTCGAATTAGAAATAAAATTTGAAGATTTTTAACAGCGGAAGTGATGAATGAATCAGATTTTCCCATACTTGACCATTAGGAAGTAATGTTCCTTTTTCTTTTTGATAAATTTCAAGACTATTTAATGATGATAAATGAACAAGTGAACGTTGTATACGATCAAAATATCCTTCATAACCAAAGATAATTCTAAGATGTGTTAATGTTCATGGCCATGTTAAGTCTTTTACATGCCAATGACAATTTCCTATTGTGCATTCAATACTTTGAAGTCGAGAAAAATTCTAAAAGATAATAATGAAAATTGTTAAATTTTATATATTTTAGGTTTCACCTTAATCCAATCGATATTTAAACAAGAAGACAAAACAAATCTTTTCAAATTTGGAAGATCGAATTGAGACATTCTGCCCCCACATATAGATTGAATTGTTAATGAAACGAGATTTGTTAAAGATGGAAGTTGTAATAAAATAGGATATGTCTTCCGTGAGTCTATATTTACAATGGATAATGATTGTAATTGAGGAAAATCATTGACTAAAGAATAAAATTGGCAAAAGTATTCTATATGGTCAGGTGTGTGTTCATCATCAGAAATTCGTAATGATTTCCATCGTTTTGTATTATGATGTTAAAAAATAAGGTCAAATTTAAATTTACTTATTGATTTATAATCAAAGAATTGACAATTTTCGCTAAGTAAACATTGAAAACGATGATTAAGTTGTGAAAAGGCAAAAACAGCATCCACTCCATTTAAATAAGAGAATATTTGAGCAAATAATTCATTAGGTAAATGTTCCAAGAATATTGAACAATGTCGCTTTCGTCGTTTTTTTTCCATTTTTTCTTTGTATGTTTCAATTAATCAACGAATATTTTTCATTATTATTGGATGTTTCAATTTTTAAGCTATGACACAAATGAGTCTATGTTTTTATACCTTTTCTTCTTTCATGTCAAGAAAAATATTTCATGACTCAGTTTTTTCGAAATATGGCGCAACACAAACGAATAAAAGAATGTGATTGGTGAACTTTGAACAAGATTTATTGGAAGTAAAATAAAGTAAAAATATCACGACAGTGTCTTCTAGAATATAATACTATTGTAGTTTACGATTCTGAAAAGTATTAAGGTGTGGGTATGGTTGTCTTTTTCTGAAGTCAGAGACCAACACTCTACATCCACACCCACACCCTGTTTTACGATAGTAAAGACAATGATAAGCCCGATGTTAATTTGTATGTTCGACATTTTCCTTATTTAACTCAAAAGTTGCTGATTCGAACACAAACGATATTGATTATCGCTATTTTATGTGCGCCTACGATTTTTATATGCCAAAAAAGACCAGCTGTGATATTTCACATCAAGTTAATAATATCATAATCCACCTAAATAATAATTCCCTTTACTGAGAGAAGGGTTATACACGGAGTGACTTAATTTGGTTCGTTCGCACAGAACAAAACAATGCTTCTTTGATCTTTGCCAAGGCTAATTTTTCATGAATTCCAAGGGCCATCACCGAAAACATTGACACTCTGCAACCGTTGCGTAAGCCATTGGGACGCATTCTAGTGGCGGCTTCTAGCCGATCTAATTTCGAAGGCTATGAATCGAGGGTGGGTGCGGATGTGTCCCTCATGTTGGGTGCCATTCACATCCCCATCCCAAAAACACTTCGATCCCAAACATAACCCCACCCACAATCACACCCATACTCACACCCTAATCGTAATGAAAAAAAGACTGTATTCTTAACAGAAACCGATTAGGCAAACAAGACAAATATAAACATTCTGAAAATTACGAGACGCGAACTTTTGAGGTAATGATGATTGTATATTGCTAGCAAAGAGATAATCAAAAATGCTAACTAGAATATTTCTCAATGAGATTCAAAGATTTTCATCTACCACGCAACAGTAAACTTATCATGGTATTTATTTAATATCTGCATAATTCTGACGAAAAAGCAGCGGAACTCAAATAGAGTTTTAAAGAAGCATCCAAAACTATTTTCAGACAAAAATTAATTGTTAAAGATAAAATGAGAGTACAATACTTATTTTTTTCTCTTTACTATTTAAATAAATCGTCTTTTTATTATATTGGTTTCTCTTCATAGAAAAATTTTTTTTTTTGCAATATGAACAAAACAAGCCTAAAATAACACTGCATTTAACTGCTTAGGAGAATTTGTTTACATGAGGTGAAACATCGTCACGTTGAGCTGTCATCGAAGATACAAATTTTGATATCGGACTAAAATTTTATTTCAAGCCTGTTGAAGAAATTAAGTTCTCGGTAGAAATCTTTTGTCGACTATAGGATGCACAAATGATAGCTATTTTCAAAAATCATTATGCATTGTGATCAAAAAGGACACAATGAACGCAGTCCTATTCTGAGTTTCAATGAACTTCGAATAATTTTAGATCTGGAATCAGTAAGAGACAAACGCAAGTCTAGAGATCATTGAACATGACACTATCTTGAGGGTATGGATATGGATCAGAAGAAAAGTTACACATAAACTTAACTGAGACCTAGTAGAATTCAGTGAAGACAACTTTCAATTGCTGTAGAATTGTCTTTGCACGCTAATTTCGATTTCTTCATTCCTCCATGGTGTACATTAGGTGAACAGTACGTCATCTTTCAAAATGCTCAATGTCGCTCACAGAAAAAATCAAAAAAGATCGTCACTTCTTCAGATTATTCATTTTTCAAGGTTAGAAAATATGCAGAAAATGAGATTGTTCGACGTTAAAACTATTTTCAGATTTCAATTTTTTTTCATCATAAAAACATGACGTATTGTAACTATAAGAATAATATGATTTGTCAATGGATTCATAACCTCATGGTCAAAATCTTTGTTAATTCCATGATTAGTTTGTTCATTTTTCAGAGAGAAAATTTGTTTGAACCACTTTTCTAGCTTCTCCGATCATTAAACGAGACCTTCTTGTGAGAAATTTGTTAATTCAACATGTTCAGTTTTGCAAAATTTAATATTTTTCGTCTAATGAAACTGAATAGTAGCTGAAGCAACCATATCCTGTTTTCAGGTTGATATAAATTATGCTTTCTCTTGTCTAATATATAAACTTTAATGCATTTGTAAGAGAAAACAATGTGCAAGTCGAGGATCTGGGTGTGAGGTGTCAAGATCTTCGCCCACATTCTAGTTTGCCATTGACTACTATTGAAATAATCTGGATTAGTTTCGATATCAGCATTGATTGGCAATGTTTGTAGATGAATATAACATTAGATAAGACAAGTAAGATCACCAAATGATATGGTATGTTTAAAAGATTTGATGTTCAGATAATTGAGTGTGTTTATCTTTGGACATTGTAGACGTTGGTATTGATTATCAATGTCATTGTTATCTGTCATGGCATGTCTCATGTGTGCTAGATGGTCAATAGAGAGACGATGTAAAGTCAGTGTAAATTAGAAAAAATCAGTCAAGTGGTTCACATTAATTTAATTGAGATGAAGATATTCAATATTAAACTTGAACAATAGCAAAGTGATGCAAAGACTAAAAGAACTGAATCTTCATCGTGTGTATCTTTATCTAAAGAGAATGTCTGATCGTGATCAACCTCGTTGGTGAAAAGAACAACTTGTTGCAAGCGATACAGCCGAGAAAGATCATTTTGTGAAAACTCGATTGAACCTTGAATGGTTTTCTCCAATTGAGTTGACGAGAAATGATGAATAAAATGTGACACTCGAAAAGGATAGTTCCGATCTCCGCATTGAAAAAAGAAATTTGATTATCAATATTTGGAATAAGATGTTGATTGAAGTAATCAAATTGAATGTTGGAGAGATTGTTTAAGCTTATCGACAACGTGTTGACATTCCTACATATATAATAATATTCTTTTTTTTTTTGTTTTCTTCTACTTGTTTAACTGTTATAGCCTTGCAAATAATCTGCATGTAATACCCTCATATGTTTTTAAAATAATGATATTTCATTACAAATCGACTTACTGTCTGCAATGAGTTCCGAAACTACTGAAGGAGACCGATCTCAGATCACTTCTGCGTAGATAACTCTCGAAAACGAGTCAAATCTCCCTATGTTCATACAAAAAAGAGAATAATTTTTTACTCAAACATCGTCTACATTTTAATAGTTGGAAAACTGTGTTCAATTAAGCAAAAAAAACATTACTTTTTATTATAATTTTTCGTAGAAAAGACTGAAGATATGCATATAATTTAATCAATTCTTGCGGAAGATTTTCGAATTTCGCGTGTACCATTATGATAATCGAAAAAAGAAGTTTTTCCATTTTGTGATGTTAATGATGATAGTACCAAATGTTCTTTAATTTGTAACACCATCAAAAATGTACATTCTCTTTGCATCAGCTGTCTCTTTTTAAAATATATTTGAGTAAATACGAATGAAAGAATTGAAGGTTGCCTTCCAATAAAATATAATTTTACGTTTACTTAGCATCGTGTGGCTGTGGCAGTTGTCGTTCTGTTCCTACCAAACCCATACTCCCATACAGATACGCCCAGTCAAATGTTTGTACATCTTTTGGCTAGTGAAAATTTATTTTTTGTCACAAAATATATTATTCGATAGCACGTATCAGACTGGTCCCAGGTAATTATGTATACAACTTCTATTGGTGGTTTTGTTTCGTTCATATTATGATTTGTATCCCATTATCTATCCGTCGCTGGTCTAACCAATTCAAATTAGTTTTATTGACGCTTTCAACAAGTTTAGATAAGCTTGATTAGTATGAAACATGCTTTCAGTGTCTTTTTTGTATCATTGTTTCACAGCAACCCGAACTCAAAATAAGTAAAATTACAGCTCATAGGATCTTTTTCTAATTTTTTCGTCATCTATTGTGGATGTTAATTATGTTTCAAAAAAACACTTATGCCTCTCTCCAATAGACAGAGTTTAGGATCTCAACTTCTTTTGTTTTTTTTTGTCTAGCCAAATATTTGAAACATCAGTCATTACATATTTTGACGTCGAACAAAAGATGATGGAATGACTTGAACGAGTTTGAGAATTACTTATTATGGTGTCTAGCATTGAATATAGTTTCTAGAGAATCAAAAAAAAAAAATCATTTTTGACTAATATATTATATCGAACAATTTTCAACGATCGTTTATTTATTCTTATTTTATTTAATCATAATTAATCAATTATCAAATAGTTCGAAGTATGTGGTGTAGATGTGGGTATGGAAGACGGTTGTCTACAAAATGGCCTCGATCTCCGAAGGTGTACATGGTTTCGTTGGATCATTCGGATCGACCATGCGTGTGAAACAAAATTCATTTATTACTTTGCAACCTTGTACATACATATTGCTAGCTATTTCACCATATCTATGAAACATATTCGATCGACATATATATAAAGTAAATAAAAATCTCTTACACACAACAATTCATCATCGTACTTGTGCATTCACACTTAATACATTCTGGAGAGGTCAATTGAAAAGAAGATCCAGTTCCAAAATGCAAACCCTTGTATTCGCAGTATGTTTCATTTCTACCATAACCTATCACAAAAATTTACACTATTGTTTGATCAAACTGTTCTTAACGCTTCTACTTACGACTAGTACGAACGAAATTTTTCTTAAGAAAACACTGTGCATCACTCAAATCGAACAAGAAGACTAGAGAGACGGCAATAAGCACGAGCATCATTCTTTCAGTCATCATCGTTTTTTTTTCTAAATATTTTCTAATCAGAATCTTTATATACTGTGGTGGGTTACTAATGATCAAAACAGTTGTTACTTTAAACATCGTGAAAAGAAT